CTAGCAAGGAGATCGGGCTGAAACTATAGCTACAAGCTATCCAAGGATGGTACTATAGAATGTCACCTCAAGGTAGGCCTAGTGGCGTCATCTCTTGGTTAGGCCGGAAACTTATCAATCCACCCTCGTATATCCTGACAAAGGTTATGAAGTTTAATAAAAATGTTGATGTGGATAAACAAAAGGTCACCACAATTCTCGTTTATTGAAGTGTCAGATTGAAGAATCAAAGAATCGCCGAAATCAGAAAGCGTTCCATGAAGCCGTTTCTAAATAATCCTGCAAGAAAATATTCTCGATATTGCCTTTTTTGCTCTGTAGTCCCTTTCAATAAAGTCGTTCGGTATTGAAAAGGTTGAAAGCAAAAATTTCATATTCTTTGTGGTTTGTTCCAGATGTGCCATCGCCAGCCTGTGTTTTGGTCAAATATTCCGGCTGGAAGCACATCCATGCGGCAGACCTGGGAGTTACATGGACACAACTTGAAATGGCACCAATTTTTATTACGAAAATGAGGTAAATTAATAAATCTGTTTACTTCATTACATTTTAATAAGTAACATGCACATAAGTAGAAGCAATTTTATAACAACTTAATTATAATTCATTTAACTTCATAACATCTGTGATTACAGATTATATTGCAATATTAATAGTCATTATATTAAGGAGTGAAATCTTTGTTGTGGTTTAAAACCACACAGGGTTCTTAAAGAACAATGAACAGATCGTATTACAGTTCCTCTCGATTGAAATTTCTGGCAAATGCCGATGATTAATGCAATTCATTCAACTAGACAGCAACTTCAGTGCTCAATAAAAACCACCTTAATCTATACTTCGTTTACTTTCTCTAGCGATTTGCCCCTTCCAATGTCTTGGATAAGCACTGGCAAAATCGTAAGTAGGAAGAAAAAAGCTCATTATACTCTCGGCTTTTGTTCATCAAATATACTTTTTCATACAGTACCTGCCAAATGTTTTGTTCAATCATGAATAGTAGTGCAAGTCGAAAACAAGCGTTCAAGCCTTTAATATGTCTTCAAATATAAATAAACATCTCGTTGATATTTTTAGTAGTAAATGATACAAATAACAACACATTTGAGCAATGCAATTGCAGTAGATAAAATGGTCGTTTTTTCCGTGCAATACTATACGGATTATACGCTCCTCACCGGTTAAGAGTTTGATAGAGAGTTGTCTTCTTTCTTTTCTGGCCTAGTGCTGTTCTTTTCTACTTTGCGCCGGTCTAACTAAATGTCTATAGCTAGAGAAACTAAACGAAGTATAAAAATGATTAAAATTTAATTTAACTCACTGCGGTACGTAAACCTAGTCCTCCACAAAATTAAAAATCGCTATAGACCTCATAAATATACTTTTAGTGGCCGTAAATAAGTGACAGCGTGATGTAGGTCCTTCTAATTTTTATCACGGCGTTTAAAAAGTGTTGCCCCGAATACAATAAAGAAACACACATAAGTCGCTCAAAATCGCCCCACTTAGAATTTTTTTTCAGTTAAAAAATAAAAGAGAAAATGTAGGTAGCACACATATATACGGCAAACACATCAACAACATACGTACACGTTCATAAAACATATTGCTTCAGAGCGAAATTTCCGGAATTTTTTGCACCTTCGAACCCAGAACTGACGACACAAATACATACATATAGATACGTGTATATACACTATAGTATATAGATTTATATATATATATTCTTCTACGCCTTCTTAGAATGATAT